GAGAGAGAGAGAGCATGGCAAATGGTGTGAAGACATTTGGAGGCACGAGTTAGAATGAAACAACATTTTGTTGGTGACTTCGGGGCGTAGGAGATAAGATTCCAAGTAATCAAGACAACAATTAGTGTTGTCCGATTCTTCAGCCGAAGAGACTGAAGCCTTTCAATTTTAGGCCTATACGGAAACGTAGCGAGGTGATGATGCTTCGGTTAGCTTCTGGCCAAAGCTTTGGTCTTTTTGGATGAAGCAAATAAATATTTATATAAAACTATTTTTTCTCAATTTTTTCTTTTTTTGAATTTTTTTTATTTATTTATTTTTATATATAAGAATTTAATTTATTTATATTAAACTTAAAAAATCAGATGTTTTCTTCCAATTCAATCGAATTGCTCTGTTTTTGTCATCAAACCTAAGAAGAATCCAAAGAGAATTTGACAACATGGAGTACCCACTCTTTTTCCCATTAAAGAGATTTAGAATGAGTTCTTTTCCTGTGAATGTGTGTAGAGGGAGAGTGTGTTGATAGTTGCCTCATAGAGACCGTACAAGCCACAGCTGATAGTTGTTTGAGAATATATAAAGCTTCTAGGGGGGGGCAATGGAACTTCACAGTTGTTGATTGATTAAGAGAGAGAAAGAAGAGGGGGTGGGGGTGGGGTCCCTTGTCTATCAGTAAGAAAGTAAAGAGAAAGAGAGATGGATGAATGTATTGATGTGTGAAAGAAAAGAAGGCGTCCAGTAGTGATGTGGATCATACATACATAGGTGCGTTGCCAAACTTAAGGAGTGGATAAAAATGAGTAAGCTTTCAAGTTCCAAGTGGGGGGAATGAGCTTCCTTGTAGGAGGAGTGCACGAGTTAGTATTTGTTGTGAGGCCCAGCCCATGAACTGTTGCGTGAATGGTGCGGCACGCAAACAAACGTTGATAGTAATGTGATGGAAACATGAGAGCTCCTCTCCGACTCCCTCTTTGACACGACTCAAAACTTGTGGTCTCTCTCTTTCTGTTTTTGAAGTATTAACGAGTAGGAATAGAGCTTTGGACTTTATATTGAGGCACTTCTCCCCCTAACCATGAATGCCCCGACCCCCTCTCTCTCTCTCTCTCTGTGGCAAACCTTTTCTTACTCTCAATTATTAGACCCAGTTCATTGATTTAACTTCTCAACAAAGGCCCAAAGTACAACGTTATATAAAAGGAAATGTTCACAAAATACCAAGGTTTATAATTCTAGGGAAAAGATATGAAACTACCTACGATAATGACATTGGTGTCTTTATTTGATAATAGGGGTGGCCAAGACTTTTTTTTTTTTTCTTAATGGTAGTTTGTCAATAAGAGAGAGAGAGAGAGATAATTTATTACAGCTTTCTTTCTAGTTTTTGCTCTCTTTGAATATAATAAATGAGGAAATTTTATTAAAATATCTATGAGAGATGAATTATTTAACATTCTATTCATATCTTTTGATTTGATCATGAGTTTGAATAGTTGCAATTGAAAAAAATATTGAATAGTTCATCTCTTATGAGTTTTTTGATAAAAGGTGCGGTTTGTATAAGGTCTGCACCTTATATTGTACAAGTAAGGTGCACCTCTAAATTTTTTTGCTAGAAGATGTAGTTCTAGTGTCTAAAACCTTATGATCTCTTGAAAATCACTTGAAAATTTTGACAATAGACTGTCTAAATAACTTATTACAACATGCATTATCTTTAGGATTTGAAATTCTTTTTTTCTTTATATCCATACATGTTGAAGTCAATATGATCAATTGGTAAGTTTTTCAGTGTTAGAACACTTTTTTCTATTGGATTTTTTTGGTGCACCTTACTTCTACAGTATCAGGTTGTAACCTTATATAAACTTTTTCCTTCGATAAATTCCCCTAATGATGAGATGTAAAATTTTATTATTATTGTAGTAATAGTAGTAGAAGAAGAAGAAGAAGAAGAAGATAAGTTGTAGCTCGTATGATCACCGTCATCAGTATGATCATGAAAATGATGATCATCGTAACTATTTTGTGTCAAAAGATTGTATGCTCCTGAACGTAGAACTACTTTTAGGAAACAATTTTTTTCTATATAATCTCCTCAACCAAGCAACTGGCCCCAAAGAAGAGAGTTTTTATGTAACACTCTTTATTTGCTGAGAAAATGATGTTTTGCTATTGAGCATGGCAAATAAACCTAAAAAAAAAAAAATTACAATAAGCAATCTATATGTGTTAGAGAAGGTAGCTAATTTAAATTTGTTTAAAGTACCAGAAACTAATTAAAAAGAACTAAAAAAAACTTTTTTAACA